ATTATTTAAGCTACAAGATAAACAGTGTTTATACAGAATAATATTCACAGTGATGATGCGCTAAACATGCGTTTCTTGTCTTCTTTCTTACCCATGCCGAACGATCATCATTTCATAAGTTTGGATAATCTTTTCACTGAAGAAATCCACCATTTGGAGATTCTTTTTATCGCATATCTGTCAAAAATGAAACCAGCGAGGACAATTAATATATCTGAAATACAAAGTCATAAGCATGCATGAATAGAGAAACATTGCATGGAGAGTCACTCTTGTTATTTGTTTCAACAGTTCTCAGTGGAAAAGACTGACCTCTTTAGCTGTGTCAAGGAAGGTGACATAGTCGGCCTTTGGCAAAGAGACCCCAGGAAACAGATCAGAAATGATTCCTTCAAACAGTGGAATATCATGAGAGAGAAACTTGGGTAGATTGACATCCATGATTGATCTCAATAACAACACATTCTCATCATCTGTTGGATACTTGAGCTTCAGGTTACCAGCTGCTGCTAGCACGGCCTTCACTGCACGCATACCATAGTCATAATGGAACTGGGATGACAGCTGTTGATCAACATGAATTACTCAGCCACTGTTTGATTACTACAGTAATAACATACAGGGCAAAAAAACTGAATTCTGATTGGTTAAGACAGAGGGCATTTTTCGTCAATTTTGGTTTGCCCGGGAGAAAATTACTCCGAAGATTTCCGAAGATCGCCCAAGGACTTCCGAAGAGTGCAAAGTTCACCCGAAGACTTCACCCGACCAACGATTTCCGAAGATGACCCGAACCCTTCCAAAGATTTTGAACATGATCGGAAGGTCAGCAAATATTTCCGATAGTCTCCAGAAGTTTGCCGAAGAGCACCCGATGTCTTAATCACACTAATTTTGCACTTTATGTTATTAACAAGTAATCGCATGATTCCTCATAAAATTAATATCACTTGTGTTTTCAGAATTTGCAAATTGCCCTCCCCTATGCGACTTGGGAAATTTCTGCAAATTTCTGAAAACATGCGTGATATTAATCCTTAATTTGCATTGCGATTACCTATACTAACAGTTATATATCACAAATAAAAGAAGACGTTAATGTTTTTTTTTAAATTTACAGCGTACTGGAAAAATCATGACCAAGTGTGTTGCACTGACCTGCTCTGAACACAATTTGTAGGTGGTGACGATTTTGACTGATAGATTACGAGCATCTACAAATCCATAGGAGTACAACATGATTTCCCCAATCAGTGCATAGTCTGGTACCATCATGGCTACAGTACGGAACAACACCTACAAAAACACCATAACATCTGAACATGAGTCATGTGTGCAAATAGTTATTGTGAGAGTGTCACTTGAAATGATTGCATGCTCCATAACGGCTAACACTCATGAAGAGACAGTAGCCTTCAAACATGTTTTAACTAAGACTTGAGCATTACACAGCAGCCACAACAATGTAGACCTGCTATAAATGAGTTGATGTTATACCTTGAGGTTATCAGGGAGTTCTGATCTTCCTGCATAGCCAGGATTCATGGTGATAGCCACAAAACAGTTGGAGTTTAAGTTGAGGTCTGTTCCTTCAAAAATAAACCTGTCTTGGTGAGCGGCTATACCACGCTGGATGCATAAAATCTGCCAAAAAAATGTTTTAAGCATTTAAGGTGATTCCCTGGTAAAAGAACCAAACATAGATTTCCGATGAAACTTGGTACACTTTTGTAACAAGTCAAAGAGATAATAAAAACGTGATAAAAAGAGGGGTTCACCGTGCTCGTTTCCACGCCACAATGCTGACGAGTTCGGTCATTTTGGCCCCTTTTGGCAAAAACCGTGCGCAGCAAATAAGCTCGATGTTTTTCAATGCAGCCCGTGAATCGCACAGAGTTTGACTTGATTCCATTGTTTATTCACCGACGTTCCAGAAAAATGTCTTCGATTTCCTTTGTATTTACTTTACACTCCAAAGTAGAATCAAATTGGATATGCGCTGTGGGACCGTAGTGGCTCCCTCCGGAGAATTTAGTTAAATTGCCAAAAAACTGATCATAGATTTCTGCCCATTTTTTTCTTGTGTAATGTAGATACTGTTCTTATTAAAATTATGAAATAAAAAATGGGGGTCACTGTGCTTGTTTAGAAGAAAACGACCATTTATTTCCCAGCCAAGCTTAGCCTGAAAGAAATCCTGTAATGTTCTGTATGTGCGCGCGCTCGTACTCGCGCTAAATGACGCGTGGCGCGCGCAAATGACACAATAGGCAAACGTCAGCTTGCAGTCGATTCTCTTTTCTTTTCTTTTCCTCGAATCGTTAAATAAATCCATCAGAAAAATTGAAAATAATTATTCACAATTATGCGCAATATAATTACACAAAACTAGAAGTTACAGGAAGGATACAATACATTACGTTCTTATATAAGTCAATGTAAGCAAACTGTGAGCAATATAACGTGTGCATGCTGGAAGGGTAAAGGTATTCAGCTGATAGCTTGATAACCAAAGACATCATTGAAAAAATGATTTACAATATTATTATAAATGAAGCATCTGGAGCAAACGGTACACCGGTAGATTCAATAAGGTCATTAGAGCAGTGTGGTGTTTTGGCGTTCACCTTAGAACCCCAAATAAAGAAGAAAGAATAATTTCCAGAGGAAGACATCATCACCACTGACAGTTGTTTTGACCTTTTTGTGTCTTGTCAACATTAAAGCTAAGCAAGTGCTCAGGTGGGTTTGCACAAAATGCCATGCTGTGGTTGTTCAAAGGATGGATAAATCACTATCCAGTGGATAGATGAGAACAAAACAAAATAAACTATTTTTCTATCTACTAGTTAGAGAATTATCTGGTGGATAGTGTTAGCCGTCCTTTGACCAACTGGAGCATGGACTCTAAAACACGTTGACAAATTTCAAACGATTGGATATCATTTACTGATCCACAGTCCACTGTTCCAACTTGTAATATAAACCAATTTCACAAATCAAGCATTTTTTGAGAGCATTTTGAACAGTTATAGTAGGCATTCTGTGTAAGAATGTTAGTTTCTACTAATATGTAGTGTGCTACTTTGAGTGTCTTGTGATGGGAAATGATATAACAACGTGTTCTTTTGTTCCACCCTCTAAAAACTGATTTCAATTAGCTTGTTTTTCAAATTATCAAATTATCAAATGAACTCTTAATTAGCATTGAGTAAGATAAGAATGATTACCTGTTGAGCTACCACAGACAGAACTTCCAGCTCAATACGATTGAATTCATCAAAACACGCCCATGCACCACACGATGCCAGACCTTTAAAGAACTAGCAAAATGGAAAGGCACTTAGCATAAATACCTACATTGTACTGCTATGGAACAAAAACACAAAACAAAAACACATTCTACTTACCTTGCCCATCTGTAGATAATCCAATCCATCTGAGCAATTAAACACTACACACTGTATGGCAAGGGCTTTTGCTAAATCCTGCACACACAAAATGCGACAGTTACAAGCACGTGACACAAATGCACCCAGCTAACACTGAACAAGCTTGTGATGCAGCTCATACACACAGTACCTTAGTTGTTTCTGTCTTGCCAGTCCCTGCTGGACCCTCAGGTGCTCCCCCCAGATTCAAGTGAAAAGCACTCACAAGAGTACGGTAACAACGATCTGTCAAGGGAGTGATGACGAGCCTGCAATACATACACAACACAACATTATATTTTAAACTCTTGCATACTTGTTATACAAAATGAGATAAAAAATAAAGGCTAACTTCCTGGTAACAAACAATAAAGGAAGAATGAATGAAAACTAAAAGTTGCGTATATGGAGTTGGGATCATCCAAATACAGTAGCTAAGGTTAACCGAGTGTACGGCACAAAATGACTAAAACTATAAAACAATTGGGAAATATATTATTTACTTAAATTAAGGTAAAACATATATATATATCCATGAACTAATTAAAACTTAGTTTAAACATTAATTATGACTATTGTAATTGTCGATCATTGAGTTCTTAATAGTTTTTTTTGGAATTCAGCAAGGGAGGAAATATGTTAAGTATACCAGAGAATGACGTCTTCATTTAAGAATATATTTTTAATGATGGAGTGCCATGTTGAATAAGAATGAACATAAGAAGTGCACTTAAAATTATCATTAAAGCAGGAGAGGTCATATTGTGAGACCACTGATAAACAAAAGAAAATATTTCATGATTAATATCATTGAATTTCAGTTAAGAGATTATTTGACAATTGTTTCAGAGTGAGATTTAGGTTCTAAGAAATTAATTATTCTAACTATTCTTTTTTGAATTATAACTAATTATTGTTTTATGATAAAGTTGGGGTATGTTACAGCCTCGACTTGAACACTATAACATATAATTTACATGTAGTGAGCTTACAAATAAACGGCTCAAACAGTTTTGTTGTTCTGACCTGCCAGAGTTGCCAAGGTACTCATATCCATAGCGTACAGTGGCATTGATGATTCTCACCAGACAGTTATCCTGCTCCCAATAGTAACGCATCTGACACAACCACTGGAAGTCATTTTCCCGAGAAACCCCTATCAAAATATACAATTCATGATGACAACTCTATCTTTCTCATGTATGTACAATTATGTCAAAGAAGTTTGTGTTAATCTTTAGTGACAGTTGAATACCTTTGTCGACCATGTCATGCACCACATCTCTAGCATGAACATCAATCACTACAAGTGCTCCAAGAGTAGTTCTGTTCTGCTTTGACAGCTTGCCACGTACTAGAACCACAATGTCTGAAAGCTGAATAATGTCACTAGTGTCAAGCTGTGCTTTTCTGTAAGTTTATTAGGGCCAGGTCGTGCAATTTGTTTCTAGCATGACCTAGTCTCTAGGTGATATAAATTACATGTGGCTTCATCTGTTAACACAGTTATCAGTACAGTAGTGTTCTAAGTAAGTTGTCACGAGTATGGGACAAAGAAAACATGTTCTGTGTCCCTGACTGGAGTGGAACCGATGACCATCCAGTTCCAGTCAGATACTCTAACCACTAAGCTACAGGGAGACTTGTGGTGAGCTACCTAATATTACATAAAATTTTCGCGACACGTTAAGATCTCATTCTCTTTCGTTCTTTCCACTGCAGTTCACATGTATATGAATTTCATATATTCATCACCACCATTTCATCACAATTGGCCAGCTCCCAGTGGTCTAATAGCTCAATAAGGTAGAGCGTTTGCACTGGAATCTTCAAATCAACATCGAAATTCTCTCTGAACATGATATTTCGGTATAAAATAAAAAACAAGCTCTGAAATAAAGGGTTTATAATCACAAGAAGTTGTATCAAGGGTTATATTCAGGAAGGGATTGAGGGCTGGGGTATTAACGGATAGAGTCATGCATTTTAAAAGGGGTTTGGAGGGCTGGGGGCTTATTGTCTGGGGGAAGGGGTATTATAATAATAATTGGAATTTTACGGTATTTTTGATGAAGTAGACAAGAAATAATACACAAGTTAAGTTTAAGTGGTCTTAATTCACAAAACAATAGGTTTCCTTCACAAGTACAGTGCAATGTATGGCTAGGATGCCGGACTAACCTGCTGTGTGAGTTTTTCATGATATTCTTTCAGTCCATGGGGTCCTGAGCGAATAGCCTCATGCACCTCTTGAGTCCAGTATATCTGGCTTACACAGATAACAATCTACAACATAGATCAGACAGTACTTGATTACATAGCATTTCAAAACAAACAAACATAAATGTAATTACAATAATGTATTATTATATTAATCTAACCTGTCCAGGCCAAGACAATACCCAAACTTTCCTGTCATCTGTAGCATATGCCTGTAAAAAATATTAAAATAAAAGAATGAGTGATCTATAATAAAACACACACAGCAATAAAAGAACACGTCAATTAGACAAATATACCTGTACAGCGCGCTCAATGATATCTCTGATGCTAATAAGCATGCTGTCCTGGACCTGAAGCAGCCACTTCTCCACTGCACCTCGTGCTTCTGATGTGGATATGGTATCACTGAGAGGAACCTGTGGCAAATAATGTACAAAACAGTTATAAGGCGCTTCTAACTGGCTCGAGCAGTAATAACAACAATAACAACAACCTCAGAGCAATGTATTGTTACGATTTACAAGTCCATTTACAAATCCTTGTCCGGAGAACGACCGTTGCTTCTGCTACGAAACTACTCACTTTATGCCCTAAATTAATGCACACTATTTTGTATACTAAACTAAATGCATACTGGTACATAATTCTTAAATCACTGACACAATGTCATTAACGACCTTTGTCCATAACTCCCCCCCAGATCTGTCCGTCCAGACAGAGATAATGGCGACCTTTAGATCGGAGGACGAGGACGAGATTGAGTATGAGTACGACTTTTCAAACCCAGTGTGCAGGGTTTACATCAACACGTCTAACACCAATCTCGTTTCTACAGCCTCCTTCTCTACTGGTCAGCAACAGGGAGGAGCGAGGGCTCTGGGACGCGACTGATTTGAAATTAGAAAGTCGTACTCGTAGTCAATCTCATACTCGTACTCCGATCTAAAGGTCGCTAACAGTTCCACTGCAAGTTTGAGATTTATCTGATCTGTTCCTTCCATGAATAGCTTGTCCCTCTAACAGTTCCTAGGAAACTTCTTTTTGAGACTGATCAGACAAATCCATCGATGACTAAATATAGTTCAAAGTCCTTGAAACGCTGAGGAACTCTCTTAGGTCTATGCTGTCTGTCAAAAGTGTCTGCTCGAAGCTCTGGTCCGTTTTCCAATAGTTCACCTCTTGGTGATAAACGTTCAGGTTCTGAGTTGAAAGAATCTGCAGTAAGGTGGTTTCACCAATCGCAATACGCGACAATACGTGTTTTAGCTTACAAGGATTTCTGAATCTTGTAAACCACATCGTTAATCTTCCTACGCACAAGGTACAGCCCCTCCCAGCGACTTGACAGTTTTGGAGATACACCTTTTCTTCTTTGGGGGTTGTGGTATCGAACTGCGTCTCCCTCTTGAAAAGGATCAGTATTGGCACCAACATCGTACCTTCATTTCGTCAAATGCATACGTGCAAAGTCATGAGCACAGGTCAATGTCTCTTCGAGTCCAACAATGTAGTCATAATATGTTGAACTCTCCCCCACTCTGGTCAGTCTGGGCCTTCCAAACATTACGTTCACTGGTAACCGCAACTCTCTCCCAAACATTAGTTTTGCCGGGCTCTGACCGGTGGATTCATGTATGGAAGAACGGTAAGCCATCATAACATATGAAACATGACGATCCCAAGCAGCTGGCACATTTCCTTAAATAGCTAAGCTTCAAAATTGCGCCCTTGATCAGAATTAAGCTCGCCGGGTACTCCATTACGTGACACAAACTCGCAAACTAAAACAACAGCCATTGTCTCACCTTCCTGGTTGGGAATTGTAAAGGGCTCCATCCACTTGGAAAAATAATCTCCCACAATGAGCAGATATTGTTTCAAAAATCACTAACTAGCAACGGTTCCAAAATATCTAAAGCCAGCCATTCCATAGGTGCACCAGAAACGTCCTTCTTCAATGGGGTTTTATTTTTCCGCTGAGGTCCTTTCCTTTTTGCCCAAGCATCACAACGAAGGCACCAAACTTCCACATCTCTATGGCAGTTCACCCAGTAGAACCTTTCCTTCACCTTAGACAATGTTTTAGAAATGCCAAGATGTCCAGATGTCAGCACATCATGGAGTTGATGCAGAACTTGCTCTCATAATGACTTTGGGATGACCAGCTATACGCTTGATCAAGGTCAGAGTTTTAAAACTTACGATAAAGCACTCCATTACACAGCACTAAGGAATCCCACTGAGCCCAGTAGGCCTTAACTTCAGGCCCAGAAGGAGAAACTTGCTCCCACTTAGGTCTCCTCTTTTCTTCTAACCACAGAATAATATTACGTAGCGTTTCATCTCCTAGCTGTGCCTCTCCTAACTCACTATCCTCCCAGCAAGCTGCTCGAGTGGTCCGGCCAAACTCACCAACGCCCTCCATCTGGGTTGCTTTCAACACCGATGGCTGTTGGATGCTGTTGTCCATGCCGCTTTCACCATGAGCTTTCGAAGAAAATCTCTGAAACTGGCCATCAGCTATCTCTCTCTTCTCACAGTGCTTACAACTGGGGGCAGCATAGGTGCATCTCAACAGAAAATCTGCATTTTCATGTTTAAGACCAGGCTGGTGTTCAACAGTGAAGTTATATGCTTGAAGCTTCTCCAACCATGTAGCCATCTGATCTTAAGGATTTTTGAAATTTAGCAACCACTGCAGAGCTGCGTGGTCAGCCCTTAAAAGAAACTGACTCCCGTACAGGTAAGGGTTGAAGTGCTCAACTGCGGCCACAACTGCTAGGTGTTCTCTTCTTGTAGCACAATAATTCACCTCTTGCTTGGAGAGGGACTGGCTGAAATAGGCAATGACGTGCTCACATCCTTTATTCACTTGGGAAAGAACAGCTCCCAATCCACTCTTATTTGAATCTGTATTCAAGATACATATCGCTTGCCTGGGTCCGGGCAGATCAGCACAAGAGCAGTCTGCAGGGCACTTTTTAATTTTGTAAATCCCACTTGACATTCAGAATTCGAATTGAATACACTGTTCTTCCAAGTACACTCAAGCAATGGCCTGGCAACTTCAGCAAACTTGGAAACAAATTTTCTGCAGTAAGAGCACAGTCCGATAAAACTCCTCACTTCTTTAGCACTTCAAGGAATGGGTCACGTGTGCATAGAATCAATCTTGGCGGGATCCTCTTCTCCAATAACATGTCCAAGGAAATGGACTTTCCTTGCAAAAGGGACACATTTCTTTGGATTGTGACGATAGGTTTTTCGGGTCAACGGACACTTTGGACTCTAGCTGAAAGGCAACTGAAACTTGGGGAAATTAGACTCAAATGGAAGCACTGCTTGACCTGCGGGAACAGAACCTCGTCACGAGTTCTTGGCACACGGGATCTAAATCATTGGAAACTTCTTATGGACGTCAAGGAACAGACTGGATTTGGGTCCAACAGTAGTTTATTCAGAGCTCGGCACTTGTAATTTCAGTACATCATCGTAATCGGCGATGCAATTAAGAAAAGCTTTACAAGTGACTTCCTTATATATGGTTCGTGTAAGCGTTGATTGTTACAATCTTGTGACTTGGCAAACTCTGCCACGTGTAGAGACAATAGGAACGGAACATACACTGTTTGAAGTTAGCGATTACTACTTAGAAATTCTGCTTACATCCGAAATTGCTTTGTTGCAGAAAAGTGAGTGACAGCAAGGGTTAACTCCCCTTGAATAGAACAGCTTAAAAATATATGTTCAGCTGGAAAACTTCCGTGGGAAGAAATATTACACAAAGAAATTTTGACTGATTTTTAGAATAAAAGGACGGCCATGTTCAAAAGTGCAGCTGTACTAGTGTACAAGGGACGCGGCAATGTTCAAAGTGCAATGTTCATATTGAATAACAAATAAATGAAACTTCTAGTTTTGTTGTATTTAAAAATGGAACTTACTGTTGGCTTTTAAAAAGGTTTTAAAACACTGAACAAGGATAAACATAGAAATGATTGAAAAACGGTAATTCCTCTCATGACAGGATTTAGCTAAAAATTGGCAGCCCTTGACTTTTGAAAAACCTGCTTTAGGTGGAGTACTTCAGTTTCGAAGTCTTTGGCGTGAATGATAATGTTACCAATGTAAACTAAGCAGTTTTCTATTGGTAACTGCGCAAGAACAGCCTCCATTGAGCGGTGGAAGGTGGATGGTGCATTGCACAAACCGAATGGCATCTTCTTGAATTTCCATAGACCTTTACCAGCCGAGAAAGCAGTCTTTTCTTTGGCTTGGTCATCCATCTCTACTTGCCGATACCCACTCTTCAAATCCAAAGTGGGGAACCAACTCGAACTGGACAACGAATCCAAGATAGAATCCAATCTAGGGAGAGGATGGGCATCCTTGCGAATAATGGCTTTAGCTTACGATAGTC